AGCAATAATCTTTTGACACTGGTTCATTCCTGGAGCGGGTTGGTACTGTGCTTCCCAGCTGAATAAGCTGGATGCCATCTGATCCCCCCGTGTTCTCAAAGCAAGATAAGATACACAGGTGGAACTCCTGGTGGATTTATCTAAGCCTGGTCGTAAAGACAATTATTGAGATTCAAAAAGCTTCTCCAATGATTTGTTTTAAGATGGCATTACCCTTCTTAAAACGTCTGCCTAGTATCTAATTTATTACTTCTCTGCAGCAGTTTCAGACAATTATTTCTTGTAACATTCATCGTGGTATTCTTTTCAGGTATCTTTCAGGTGTCTTTTGCCTATTTGACAGCTGTTTTGTGAATAGTCTTTTCTTAAGACCCAGCCCTTCAGCCTCTTTTTGGCTACTATTTTCTAGGTTTCTCATTATTCTTGTTACTCTTTTTCCATTTAATTCCTGTCTTTGAAACCTTGTCACAATCTGTACAATGCTGCCAGAGCTATGAGAAATTATTTTACATGTTTTGTAGGTTGCACTAACATTTGTATATCCTGGCATAATGTTTTTAAAAAGCATTCAGTTGTTCTTAATGATCACTAGATCATCCATTCTATTTTTCCTTTAGAATGGATGTCTAGCAACTTGCTCCGGCTTGTTGTTAATATCTTGATTATTTTGTCTATGTAACAGTAGAACATAGGAGTTTTCTGTATTGAATTACATTACATTACATTACATTACATTTAGCCTATTTTAATATTATGACTATTTTTATATATTTCTATGTTCTAAAACTCTTCTATGTTTAATAGGATATCCTTTAGCTTATCTTCCAACCCTCTAGAATCATAGAATAACCTCAGTTGGAAGGGACCCACAGGAATCCGCGTGTCCAACTCCTGGCCTGCACAAGACAGCCCCAAGAGTCACACCATGAGAGCCTTGAGCTCTGTCAGGCTGGTACTGTGACCACTTCTCTGGGGAGCTTCTTCCAGTGCCCAGGCACCTTCTGGGTGAAGAGCCTTGTCCTAGTATGCCACCTAAACCTCCCCTAACACAGCATCAGACCATTCCCTTGAGTCCTGTCACTGCTCACCACAGGGGAGAGACCAGTGCTGCCCATCCTTTTGCCCTCCCTGAAGCTGCAGGCTGCAGTGAGGTCTCCCCTCAGTCTCCTCTTCTCCAGGCTGAACAGACCAAGTGACCTCAGCCACTCCTCATACAGCTTCCCCTCCAGGCCCTTCACCATCTTTGTGGCTCTCCTTTGGAGGCTCTCTAATGGCTTATATCTTTTTTTTATTTTGTGGCACCCAGAACTGCACACAGGACTTGAGGTGAGGTTGCCCAGTGCAGAGCAGAGCAGGACAATCCCCTCCTCCTTGCCTGGCTGGGGATGCTGTACCTGATGCCCACCAGAGCACGGTTGGTCCTCCTGTTTACCAGGGCACAATGACTCAAATTCGACTTGCCATCAATCAGGACCCCCAGTTTCCTTTCCACGGTGCTGCTTTCCAGCATCTCATTCCCCAGCTCAGCTGTATTCATCCAGGGTTGCCCCATTCTAGGTGCAGGATCTGGCACTTTCTTTGTTGATCTTCATACAGCTGCTGATTGCCCACCCCTCTTATTTGTCCAGGTCTCTGTGCAGGACCTCTCTGCCTTGGAGGGAGTCAACACCTCCTCCCAACTGAATGTCATTGGCAAACTTACTTCATATACTTTTGAGTCCTGCCATCCAAGTTGTTTACGAGGACCTTGAAGAGCACTGGCCCTACAGTGGAGCTGTGCAGAACCCCAGTAGTAACTGGACACCAGCCTGATGTTCCCCTAGTGTTGTCCCATTCACCCCACAGTGCTTTGTGTCCAGCCCATGAGTCAGGGGCTCATGCATCGCATGATGAGTTTATCCAGCTGTCTGCTGGACATTTTGTCCACAAATGTGGACAAATGTGAGAGACAGCACTGAGAGCATTACTGAAATCCAAAAAGATTACATCGACTGGCTTCCCTTGGTCAGCTAGGTGGGTAACTTCATCGCAAAAGGAAATTGTCCAGTTGGACTTCATCCTCGTTAAGCTGTCTTGGCTGTGGCCATTGATTGCATTGTCCTTCGTATGTCTTCCTGTAACTCCCAGAATAATCTTTTCCATAATTTTACCAGGCATGGAAGTGGGACTGGGTCAGTATTTGCCAGCTTACTGTTAATTCTCCAGATTCCCAAGACCATTGAAAAGCCATGGAGAGAGATGTGGTTGGGAAGTCAGGCAGCTCTTAGAGTACTGCCCTGGCATGAATCCCCTCACACCACCTCTCCCTTTTGACACTCTTTCTCATTGTGTCCTCATAGCCTGCATGCCAGTTATTCCTTTTTCTGTGTTTTTTCACATGTGATGCTTGCTCTTTTACCAGTTTAAGAGTAACACTGAGGGAAGTTTGACCCACCTTTAGTTAACAGAGCTATCTTTACAGTATCCTAGTGCACTGTTAATTTGGGGAATGATGTCAAGAGGTTTGAACCAGAGTTCTGTTCCTGGTGTTGTTAGCTGCTAGTAAGAAATTGTCAGAACTGCCTTTATTCATTTCCAGCTTATGCAAGCACCATGATGTTGCTTTGTTTCTGAAAAAAATGAATATATCTCTGCTGCCTGCCTGTCCTTAAAAGGAGGTCAGTGAGGGTAAAATTTTATCATAGCTGTGAATGGGAATACTGATTTGGAAGTGTTGTATGCTGACCTTGCACTCAGTATCTCCTTTATCTCTGCCTGTGCCAGGTGTTGAGCATTAAATTTTTAGTGTTTAAAAGGGTAGTGTTATTTACAAATAGGAATGAGTAGACAACTTCAAAGAAAAATAAATTTAAAAAAATCTAAACTTGCAACTCATGTTGCTAGCTGAAGCACCTATGAAGTATTTACTAGTCCCTTCAGCAACATTTGAGTGAATCAAAGTTAGAGCATTGGAGTTTTTTAAAAAAATAATCTCTCAAGATTATAATAATATAATAAATAATCTCTCAAGAAAGTATTAAAGAAGTCTTCAGAAATTAAATAGGAGTATTACTTTTTTTTTCTTCACTTGTCATATTCTGTTTCTCAGTAAATCAGACCTGGAATGGGTTTATATGTCAAATCTTAAGTGGCAGTCTCTCCAAGGGGAGTAATCAAAGCCTAAGGGCACAACTATCTGTAGGTTTGAATCCTTAAACTACTAAGTTTGAATAATAAAAACTCTCAGATCTTAAAAACAGAAAGACATAAGACATCTCTTTTTAACAGAGATGAGTATTAAATTCGAGTGATAATCCATTCCACAAACTCCAAATACTGGTTGGAGCATTAAAATATGAATTAGGTCATGTACTTTCTGGAGAGAGGGCTGGTGGGAATCATAGTAATGCAAGCACTCTCCTGTACAGCCAGAATAATTGAGATAGAAAAAGTATTCAGTTGCTTCAAAATCAGCATGGGAAGGTGTTTGCTTTATTTCCATTTTCTAGTCCTTTGTGAGATATTAGTGCTATATAGCTTTCAGTTGGAACAGTTATGTTGGGGTTTTTTTGGGAAATTTAAAAGGTTCTGTTAGTGTAATTTTCCTTTAACCATGCATTTTTGGCCAAAGGTGACAAATTCAGAACTGAAGTACAATCATGACTTTATTTAAGTACACAAAATTTGAGGTGATTATTTCTGTCTTTTTAGTACTGGCAGTGGTGCAAAAATGTACTATTTTGATACAGTGATGCACTTCAGGTCATGCAAGATATAGAACTGCATGAGAGTGTGACAAGACCAGAAGTCTGAGTGCTTAAAAAGTTGATAAAGTTCTGTAAATTCACAGTGCTTACATCTACTTACTGGTGGAAACTTCAGGAGGCTCCTTGATTCTTTCATAGCTACAGTGTTCCCACCCCTTACATATTTTTAGGAGAGAGAGAGAGAAACTTTGACTTTAGCATTCTCTGGAAATCCTGATAATTAAATAATGTAACTGCATTACAATGAAGTTATGTACCCAAACAAAATATGAGTCTGGGAATAAAAGAGAAGAATTCTGGTGAGATTGTTCTGAAGTGTTGTGATGCACAGCAAACACTTCATATTTTTATTTGTTACTTGAATTGCTTTTCTGACTCATATGCTTCTGTGTCCTTTGCCTATTTGATGAGACATCTGGCATCTTTTGTTCAAGGATGAAGTGTTCTCCATAACCATCTTTCTTCTTTTGCTTTGGGAAAAAGCTCTTTGTAGATGCTTCTCCCCTCTGTTTCTTGTTTATGTTTTTCCTGATAATACATTGACAGAACATCCCAGGGAAAGATCTCTATGCAAAGAACTGTTTTATTGGAAGAAAAAGTAAGAGTGACAATGTTTACAATGATACTATTTTCTCTGTATGTGTTTTTTAATTACATTATTTTTATATGCTTGAAAGAACAATTTTGTTTCTCACATATAGTTGGCTTTTCTGTGATTTCTGAGTTGGAGCTGTAAGTACAGAGATCAGAACCTCACAAATGAATCTGTTTCTGTATCAGAAAAGATAGTCACTATCCAGAATTACATTAGGCACAGATTTTCATTTTATTCATTAACACTTTTTACCAGGACACTGTCATCTTAAAGATAGAAATTCAGTGACAAATTCTATAAAAATTGACTCTTTACTGCTTCCTGTCAATAATGAATATTGTTGCTGTGTTTATTTGCTCTTTGAATACAGATAAAACCAATGCAGTCTGCTTCCTATTAGCACGGACGTTCAAATCAGTCTCACACCGCAAGTGCTTTCATGCTTCTGAATTAAGTCTTGGAACTGTAGCCAGGCTAGGAACCCAAAACTTTGTAGCTTTCTTGAATCTAATTTTTGTTACAAAAGTAGCATATATTGCAGAAGACTCTTCTTCCCGCCTCTACACAAAGATTTAAGCATTGCTTCAAATTTCATAGAAGTATAATTTTTTTTAATAAGATATATTTGTGTTAATGATAGTCATTCTGTCTCCCTACAGTGCAAATTAGACTATCAAGCCTGTGTCTCAGGAAAACAAATTTCAGTGAAATGTGAAGGACGTTGCCCTTGCCCTTCTGACAAATCCACAAATGCAGGCAGAAATGACAGGAGAGGTGAGTGATGGTAATTTGTGTAATATTTTTAATACTTATTTCCAGAAGGAAGATTTTGCACATGGAATATTACAGTTATCAGAAACAGTCATTATTCTTGAATAAAACCAGATATATTTTCTTCAAGGTTGTTTCTTTGCCAAGGGTTTTGAAGTTGTACCTTTAGTAAAATACCATGGTATTTTTCAAATCTGCTATTCTAGTGTGAGTTACTGCTGTTCTTTTTTTTCATTTGCTATTTGATACTCCTTGACTCCTTGAGATGCTTATAGGTGCATTTAAAACCAGAAATTAATTCCTTGCACCTCAGTGTTTTCAGTTGGATATTCAAGAAAATGAAGTGTAACAGAAAGGAAGGAAACTTAGAAGTCCTTGTTGCTGGTCACAGGAGCAAGCAGTTGAGCTGTAGAACTGTTAGTAATGGCTGTATCATGTGAGTTTGTTTGAAGAATGCTTGATAGGAATAAATCAGCTTCCTTTTAGACCAGGAATGAGATTATGCTGCTAGAAAATGAAGTTGCTTTGCAGTGCTTCTCAGGCATTTTAGGTGCAGCTGGAACAAACTGGAGAAGAAAAATGGTGGCTGTGCATGTTTGTATTTCAGTGGCTCCCAGGTGATTTTGGAAGGTGGTGGTTAAACAAAACATGACACCATCTTTGGTGCTTCTGGATAGAGAGCGGTCATGAAGTTTTAGGCTACCACAGACCTGAATCTGTCAAGAAAAGCATGATTGGAGGTCTGCATTTTAAAATTTTCTTTAGAATGATCTCTGTTAGATGCATCTTTTTGTTCTGTCTGTATAGTAACACTTTTGATGAGTAAAATACATTGAAAAGACACAAAAATTAGTTTTTAAGGATGTTGGTTTTTTCCTGTAGTAACCTTATAACAATAAAAGAAACAAACATCGCATTCCTGCATTAACGCTGATATTTCATTATTTGAAGCACTATTCCAGATCTATTGTGCAGGTTAGTCTTACTTTCCATTATAAGCTGTAACTACTGCCAAAACTATATTTTTTTTTCTAGTTTAAAAAACAAATTAATGTTCTTTAAACAATGATGAAGATGACCACTATAAAGAATAAACTGTGTGCAGGCATACAAGTCAATTAAAAACTGCTCTGAAACACTTCTTTAGGTCCCTTTTTTCATATTTGGCAATATAATTGATTGTGTAATTAAATATTAATTGAATATATGTAATTAAATACTCCTTGTGCTGGAACCCTCTGCAAAATTATTATCTTGATGTTTTTTAAAGCATTAATTTAGAACTTCATGAAGTATCTTGAAAATAAATAGATAAATATGTCATCTTTTTGCATTGTTAAACAAAATGAAAAGTACTGGAAGACCTGGCATCATGTGGCTAATGTGGCCCCTTTGATAAGATATACAGTGAGTGTAACCTTAATTAATTAAGAGGTTGCAGCATCCTCTAGCAATAGTTTCTGTATCTTCAGGATGGATATTGGAATATTTGCTTAACAGTGGGCATGAAGTGAAATTAAGATAATGAGGTGAAAAGCATCTCTGTGAGTAGTATGCCTACCACTCTCCAGTATCAGTCTTTTATTACGCTATAATTGCCCTTAGTTTTTACCAAGATAAGATCTCCCTGCTGGAAGCTGTTTCACCTGATGCAGTTATTTTTTGTGTGTATTATTTCAAGCATATTTGATTTTTCATATTCCTGTGCTAAAACACTGAAGAAAAATCTAGAGACAATTTTTATTTTTTTGCTTCAAAAAATTGAATTTTTTTAAAATTAAGAATGAACTCTTCTTGATGATTTAAGTTGCCAGGGAATCAAGATTACTTGTTGCCTAGTTATGTAAAAGAAAAGGAAAAAAGGTCTCATGGGTATAGGAATTAACACTAATCCTGTCCTGACAGATTGTCAGAGCAAGCAAAACACAGGGCTTTTCCAAATTCCATGAAATTTGTTAATATATTTTCTTTACAAGGCCAAAAGCCAGGAAACTAGAGAAACATGAAAGTGAGCTGAGCATCATTAGTGAAATTTCAGCTTTTATTGTGACAGTATATAAAATTTCTTGCAACAGAAGTTCTTCTAACAACAGTTATAAGAATACAGTTTTTGGCTTTAAATGGAGCTCTGTAAAGTGTTGTTGCAGTTGGACTCGATGATCTTGGGAGATATTTTCCAGACTAAATGTTGCTATGATTCTAAGCTGTGTACGTGTATGTCAGTTGCTTGCAAATTTGATAACGCTAAACAGGCAAAGTAAGGTTACTGTTCTTTTTCAGGGATAACTTAATAAGGATTTCCAAAAATACCTAGGCTTTTTGGGACAATTGTTCATTTTTCAGATTGAAATTGCTGATTTTTTGGGTGTATCTGGAGAGCATACTATGTCTGTGAACTTTACCAAAATAGTCTTGGTGTGGAATGCTGTACTCCTTTGGGAAGCAAAATTAAACCACTATTCAGAAAAACTGATTTTCTTAAAATGTCTGTGAACTTAATAATGAAATCAGAGAGTTCTTTTAGTTGGAAGTGAACTATGAAATTTGTCTAATCGTTATCTCTGATGAATGCATGAGGCACGTGATGGGATCCAGGCTTTTGTGAAGGCTGTCGCATTTTAATAATACATTTAGAGACATTGAACCCAGCTGACGCTCAGGGTCTCTTGTGTTTAATCCAGAAATGAAAGAGCTAAGAACTTGATTTGGATCTAGATGTGTAAGTTGTTCAGAAAAACAAAAGTTACAAGCAAAAAAAAACCCCAAACCCAATAACAAAGAAAACTCGCAATAAAATAAAAATCTTTACCATCTTTGTTTTGATTGTAATTCAGATTAAGCAATGGATATCATATAAACTACAAACTGTAATAGGTACTCTAGTAATTTTTAAAAAGAGACAGAAAAGACAAACTTAGGGTTACAAATGAGAGAGGGATATCTGCAGAGCATTAGAGACGGTATTAGGGGAACATGAAGTTAGAAGTAAATGGGGAGTAGAGATGAGAGGGAGGGCTTTGGAAGTAACTGGGGAGTACAGAAGAGAGGGAGGGCTTTGGAAGTTGTGTAGAAGCACAGTGAGAAGAGAAGGTAAAGCAGAATGGATGGGAAGCATTACCACTTGTGACAGAGGTGTTAAAGAGACACTTGAGGAAGCATTTTGTTTTCCAAGCATAGCCATTGCCTCATGTGCTGCCTTTGCCCCAATCTCCTTTTGAAGTATGTGCCAGCATTTGGGTACCCAGGTCATACTGAGTTGCACAGCTGTGAATAAAATGATTTCACTGAGTCAGAATCTGCAGATCTTAATTTTCCTGAGCACTTCTGAGGCTTTTTTTCAGTGGTTATGTAGAACCAGAAGCTCAGAAGGATTCTGTGCACTGAACATTTTTAAAAAACCAGGAAGTCTTGTCCCCTTGGCAGTGTCTGGGCACAACTTTTTCTTTCAAATAGTGGTCATGGTCCTTTTGCTCTGAGATGTAGCAAGCCCTGTCCCTTGCTTGTCCTGCTCTTCACTCTGATAGCTAAGAAAAAATGTATGTGATTCAAAGTGTGGTCAATGAAGATCAAAGGCATTTCTGCAGAAATTTTCTCAGCAGATGAGTGTATGGCTGACAGCTCTTAGCTTATGGTTAAAGACCTTCAAAGGTATCTAAAAAAGGTATCTAAGTTATCTCAAATTTGTCTACTCCAGAGTGCATACATTGGGAAAGTATAATTATTCTTAAAATTAAAAATCTTGACAGAGTGCTTTGCTTTATTTCCCTGTCAAGCTGCACTAACATTCTGACAAAAGTGTGCTGTGACATGCCCAGGATCCTGGTCTCCCAGTCTATTTCAAAGATTTGGCTGAGGTGTAGTACAGCATCCTTCTCAATTATGTCTTTGGATACCTTCTTCATAGAAATAAGGTGTGTTTCTGCTCTGACATAGAGTCAAGATTCAGCTAAGACACGCAGTCACACCCAAAAGCTCAGGGCCAATTGAAGGCCCTGCAGTTTAAATGGCAAAAGCTATGTCATTGTTGGTAAAATACTGAATATGCATTTTTATTAGCTACTGAAATAGAAGAATTCAGTCTTAATAATTTTTGAGTTAATCTCTAATAAATCCTATGCTAAGAGCTCACTTGATATTTTCACTAAGATAAGAGATTTAGTCTTATATTCATGGAAGATAAAAAAGGGGCTTCTCTTTCTTTCAGCATCTGAGGTGGACTATGTAGGTAACAAGGAAGCTCTTACAAATGTCATGCTCTTTGGCTCTAAGCTTTTTCCAGGAGGAGGTGAAAAGGCAACATTGTATGCTCAAAGTATTTTCAGTCTGAAAGACTTTAATCACAGAATATGACTGCCCTCTCAGCTGTGTCCTGTTTTATACTGAATATGGCCAAAATGTTAATTGCTTTGTAGAGATGGGGATAAATAACAGTAGGATTAAAGACGCTGTGGGTACTGGTTTGTTCTGTGTGCATCAGTTCTTGAAAAACAAATAGAGGGACAAACAAGCAAGCAACACTCTCCCAAATCCCCTGATTTAATTTGCATAGCATCATCTTTTCAATACATGACCTCTACTACTTTTCATATAGTACAGGTATAGATGCCAAAAAAGAGCTTTTGTTTCATTTACATTCGGAGAGAACACTGACTCATTTCCAAACTTCACAAATAAAGAGATTGAGAGCCAAAATTACCACTTGTGTTAACTCCTTAATCTCTACTTTGTATTTCTGCCTTTCAATGACAGATACTGCTGTTTTGTAATCCCCTGTTTCTTTTTTGAAAAGGTAACTACAGGATATCAATAGAATAAAAATCCATGCTCAAACCAACATGTACTAGGCCAATTAGGCCTGATATTATATTGCTGTTTGACCTTTATTTACAAACATGGTAGTGTGTTTTAATTTTTTTTTGAAATTATCTAATTTCACACTGTCATGCTTGTTACAGAAACTTAAGTGACCAGCCTATAAAAATAAACACAAAGGGAGAAGTGCT